TAACCTGGTGTCCTGTGACTTCTGACTTTGTCCACACCAGTCCAACACTGGCATTTCCACATCAGTGTGGGTAAAAGGCATTGGACTGTTTGATCAGCCATGATCAGAATAAATGGTTATTTAAGGAAGGAAATCTGCTGTTACCACCTGGTCTGGCCTACTTCAGTCTCTAGACTCATAGCAATATGGTTGACTCCTAAAGTGAAATGGCTGAATAAGTCACTCAATTCAACAGCAGTTAGCAAGTGCTTTTTAATTCTATCATAGGACGTGGCATGACTGGCTGGCCAGCATTTATTGCCCATCCCTAGTTGTCCTTGAGAAGGTGGTGGTGAGCTGCCTTCTTGAACTACTGCAGTCCATGTGCTGTCAGTTGACCCACATTTCCCTTAGGGAGGGAGTTCCAAGATCTTGATGCAGCAACACTGAAGGAACAGTGATACATTTCCAAGTCAGGATGGAGAGTGGCTTGGAGGGGAATTTGCAGGTCATGGTGTTCCCATGTGCTTCCAGATGGAAGTGGCCATGGGTTTGGAAGGTGCTGTCTCAGGATCTTTAGTGAATTTCTGCAGTGCATCTTGTAGATGGTACATACTGCTGCTACTGAGTGTTGGTAGTAGAAAGAATGGGTGCTTATGGGTGTGGTGCCAATCAAGAGGGCTGATTGGTCCTGGGTGGTGTCAAACTTCTTGAGTGTTGCAGGGGCTGTGATTTCTCTGGCCAGTAATTCACTTCCTGACTCCTCAATACCTGTATACCATCTACAAACACAGATCAGAAGCGTGATGGCATACTTTCCACTTGTCTGGATGGATACAGCTTCAATAGGTAACAAATATTGGCAGAGCCAACAATGCCCACAACACTGTGAGATAATTAAAAGTTTCAGTTTTACTACTGACCTGTAATTTCTTCCTACTCACCTGTTTGACAATGAGTTCGCTGGTTTTAGAATCTTGTACCATGAACAACATATTGCTGGTCTTTGAGTCCATTGTGATGTTTATGTCTAAAGGCCGCTGGGGGACCGTACAGTTTACTGAAACAATGTGTAATGTGAGGGTATCAATGGGCACAAGGTAACTGTCAGAAAACTGAAAAGAAACAAGTTAGTGGAATTCAGGGAGCAGGTTGAGATTATTTTCTGTTCATCATAAACTAAACACTAGTGAACTACAGAAATGGTACACAGCTATCTAACATCAGTGGGCAGGGCTGTTCCCTTTTGACCTAGGATACACATGATTCCGTAAGGCTGTATTATCCACCCCTAGAGGTGGTGTTTTAGAGTAAGTTAGAATGGAACAAGGGTAATAGTAGACCTTAGTGGATGGGGTTAGCAGGTTCACTTTCCTGAGAAGCAGCAGAAATAATTTGTTTTTATTTAAAGAAGAATCTGGCAACTTCTATGGTCAGTTTAATATTTGGCATTTGACCAAAACAATCACCAAACATTGAATTTCATTTCACAGTCTCCTATGGTGGGGCTTGAACCCATGATCTTTGATTTGGCTGTTGCAGTTCTGTAACTACTAGGTTAGAGTCTTAAATCTGTAAAGAGTTAGCTCATCTCAACAAGCTAGAAAGAATAGCTATAATTGGCTTCAACGACCTCAGTTAAAGGAGGGCAGCTTTCTGACACTGATGAAAATAGAGAGATTCGGTTCCAAAATCAGATGATCAGAGATTAGGATCCATCTACAGCAATGCTCAGTCACAGTGTGCTGATCTGACATTCATTGCCTGGGAACATCATATAAAATGGCTCTTGGAGTGAGGTTTGTAAGCATGATAACTTCATTTTTCAGTAGCAGAGGGAGAGGCGACAGCAATGACCAGGGGGCTGCCGGGAATATATTTGGGCAGCGGCTGAAACTATTTAACTCATAAATTGATATAAAGTAATAAAGTAATTAACTAAGTAGAGATGGCTGGGCAGGTGATGTCCTGGAGCTGTATGATGTGGGAGCTGGCTGATCCCATTGTGAACGGCAGTGACCACATCTGCAGCAAGTGTTGGTTGCTGGAAGAACTCCGGCTCAGAGTTGAAGATCTGGAATCTGAGCTTCAAACACTGCGGCACATCCGGGAGGGGGAGAGTTACCTGGACGCTTTGTTTCAGGAGGCAGTCACACCTGGTAGATTAAGTAATTCAAATTCAGTTAGTGATCAGGGACAACAGGGTGTGACTGCAAATGAGGCAGGTAGCGGGATCCTGAGTTCAGGAGTGGAGGAGCCTCAGCTTTTGACCTTATCCAACAGGTACGAGATGCTTGCTCCCTGTGTGGATGAGGAAAAGGGCTGCGGGGAGGATGAGCCAGCTCACCACGGCACCATGGTGCAGAAGGCCATTCAAGAGGGTGGAGCAAAAAGACAAGTGGTAGTTATAGGGGATTCTATAGTTGGGGGGATAGATAGTATCCTTTGCAAGCCGGATTGGGAGTCCTGCATGGTATGTTGCCTGCCCAGTGCCAGGGTGTAGGACATCTCTGACTGGCTTGAAAGGATATTGGAGAGGGAGGGGGAGGATCCAGTTGTTGTGGTCCACGTTGGGACTAATAACATAGGCAAGGCTAGGATGGAGGACCTGTTTGGGGATTATCAAGCACTAGGAACGAAATTAAGGAACAGGTCCTCGAGGGTCATAATCTCCGGATTACTGCCCGAGTCACGTGCAAATTGGCTTAGGGATAAGAAAGTTAGGGAAGTAAACATGTGGCTAAGGGAGTGGTGTGGGAAAGAGGGGTTCCATTTAATGGGGCATTGGCATCAGTTTTGGAACCGGAGGGATCTGTACCGATGGGACAGTCTCCACCTGAACCGATCTGGAACCAGTGTTCTAGCGAAAAGGATAAATAGGGTGGTCATTAGGACTTTAAACTAGTGAGTTGGGGGGAAGGGAAAGGGAAAACGACAGGGAGTATGATGGTAAATAAAAAGATAAGCAGCAGGTTAGCATGTGTGCAGGAGGGTTTAAGTTCAAGGCAGACTATGAAAGAAGCAAAAAGGAAGGATAACTCAGGAGATATTATTAGAGATGTTGGAAATCATGAGGGTAAGAAAGCTAGCATAAAGGCACTTTACCCGAATGCTCGTAGCATTCGTAACAAGGTTGATGAGTTAACGGCACAAATTATCGCGAATGAATATGATTTGGTAGCCATTACGGAGACATGGTTACAGGATGGTCACGACTGGGAGTTAAATATCCAAGGGTACCAGACTATTCGGAAGGACAGACAGGAAGGTAAGGGAGGTGGTGCAGCTCTGATATCCAAGGATGACATCAGGGCGGTGCTGAGAGATGATATAGGTTCTATGGAGAATGAGGTTGAATCCATTTGGGTGGAAATTAGAAATTCTAAGAGGAAAATGTCACTGATAGGCGTAGTCTATAGGCCACCAAATAATAACATCACATTGGGGCGGGCAATAAACAAAGAAATAACTAATGCCTGTAAAAATGGTACGGCAATTATCATGGGGGATTTTAATCTACATGTAGATTGGTTGAACCAGCTCGGTCAGGGTAGCCTTGAGGAGGAGTTCGTTGAGTGTATCCGTGATAGTTTTCTTGAACAGTATGTAATGGAACCGACGAGGGAGCAAGCTATCCTAGATCTGGTCCTGTGTAATGAGACAGGAATAATTAATGACCTCATAGTTAGGGATCCTCTTGGAAGGAGTGATCACAGTAAGGTTGAATTTAGAATACAGCTGGAGAGTGTGAAGATAAAACCCAATACCAGGGTCCTGTGCTTGAACAAGGGGAACTACAATAGAATGAGGGAGGACTTGGCTAAAGTAGACTGGAAACAAAGATTTTATGGTGGGACAGTTGACGAGCAGTGGAGGACTTTCAAAGCAATTTTTCAAAGTGCTCAGCAAAAGTATATTCCAGTGAAAAGGAAGGAATGTCAGAAAAAGGGTAATCTGCCATGGGTGTCTAAAGAAATAAGGGAGGCTATCAAATTGAAAGAAGGCACACAAAGTAGCCAAAAACAGCATGAAACTAGAAGATTGGGAAAACTTTAAAGGTCAACAGAAAGCCACAAAAAGAGCTATAAAGAAAAGTAAGATAGAACATGAGAAAAAACTAGCACAGAATATAAAGACAGATAGCAAAAGTTTCTATAAATATATAAAACAAAAAAGAGTGGCTAAAGTAAACGCTGGCCCTTTAGAGGATGAGAAGGGGAATTTAGTTATGGGATATGATGAAATGGCCGAGGCATTGAACAGGTATTTTGTATCAGTCTTCACAGTGGAGAACACTAATAACATGCCAGTAATTGACAAAGAGACGAAGGTAGGTGAGGACCTGGAAACAATCATTATTACGGAAGAGGTAGTGTTGGGCAAACTAATGGAGCTAAGGATTGATAAGTCTCCTGGCCCTGATGGAATGCATCCCAGGGTACTAAAAGAGATGGCGGGAGAAATAGTAGGTGCACTGGTGGTAATTTTCCAAAATTCGCTGGACGCTGGGGCAGTCCCAGCAGATTGGAAAACAGCAAATGTGACGCCACTATTTAAAAAGGGAAGTAGACAAAAGATGGGAAATTATAGACCGGTTAGCTTAACGTCTGTAGTGGGGAAGATGCTTGAGTCTATTATCAAGGAAGAAATAGCAAGGCATCTTGATAGAAATTGTCCCGTTGGGCAGATGCAGCATGGGTTCATGAAGGACAGGTCATGCTTGACAAATCTTTTGGAATTCTATGAAGACATTATGAGCAAGGTGGACAACGGGGACCCAGTAGATGTGGTGTACCTAGATTTCCAAAAGGCCTTCGACAAGGTGCCACACAAGAGGCTACTGCATAAGATAAGGAAGCATGGTGTTAAGGGTAAAGTATTAGCATGGATAGAGGATTGGTTGACTAACAGGAAGCAAAGAGTGGGGATAAATGAGTGCTATTCTAGCTGGCAGTCAGTGACTAGTGGTGTGCCTCAGGGATCAGTGTTGGGACCGCAATTATTTACAATTTATATAGATGATCTGGAGTTGGGGACCACATGTGGGGTGTCAAAGTTTGCAGATGACACTAAGATGAGTGGCAGAGCAAAGTGTGCAGAGGACTGTGAAACTTTGCAGAGGAACATAGATACATTGAGTGAGTGGGCAAAGGTCTGGCCGATGGAATACAATGTAAATAAATGTGAAGTCATACATTTTGGTAGGAGTAATAGTAAAAAGGATTATTACTTGAATGGTAAAAAGTTGCAGCATGCTGCTATGCAGAGGGACCTGGGTGTCCTTCTGCATGAATCACAGAAGGTAGTTCTGCAGGTACAACAAGTAATTAGGAAGGCAAATGGAATTTTGTCCTTCATTGCTAAAGGGATTGAGATTAAAAGCAGAGAGGTTATGTTGCAGCTGTACAAGGTGCTGGTGAGGCCACACTTGGAGTACTGTATGCAATTTTGGTCTCCTTACTTGAGAAATGATGTACTGGCACTGGAGAGGGTGCAAAGGAGGTTCACTAGGTTGATTCCGGAGTTGAGGGGGTTGGCTTATGAGGAGAGACTGAGTAGATTGGGATTATATTCATTGGAATTCAAAAGATTGAGGGGGGATCTTATAGAAACATATAAAATTATGAAGGAATAGATAAGATAGAAGTAGAGAGGATGTTTCCACTGGCAGGTGAAGCTACGACAAGAGGGCATAGCCTCAAGATTAGAGGGAGCAGATTTAGGACTGAATTGAGAATGAACTTCTTCACCCAGAGGGTTGTTAATCTATGGAATTCCTTGCCCGGTGAAGTAGTTGATGCTACTTCAGTAAAGGTTGTTAAAGATAAGGTAGATTTTTTTTGAACAATAAAGGAATTAAGGGATACGGTGAGAACACGGGTAAGTGGATCTGAGTCCACGAAAAGATCAGCCATGATCTTATTGAATGGCGGAGCAGGCTCGAAGGGCCGGATGGCCTACTCCTGCTCCTACCTCTTATGTTCTTATGTTCTTTATAACTCTGACGCAATAGTTAGTAAAACAGTGAGACAATGCCTGTTACAGAGCAGGGTTTTGGAGCAAGCTGCCTCAACTATTCCAAAGTGTAGACCAGATTGTTGTAAGAAATTACTCGTTTTCTTTAGTTATGTGTGTCGATATTGGCATTTCAAGCTTTCATTAAATCAGGGCATAAAGTACTATCCTGCTTCATATTGGTTTTAGTTGCACTTAACAGGTGATGGCCAAAGCTGAATGACTACAGTGTGGATTTTGAAATTTGCAAAAACTATTAGTTTCCTTCCTTTGCCTTTATTTTTCACATCATTTCCTATTCACATCTCTCAAGCTACCTAATCTCTTAGAGACTGAACACACAGGGGTTCTTTACTTGAGGAAAGAGGAGGCTAAAGAATGGCTTGATAAAAATGTTACAAATTATGGGGAGGTCCATTGACGTAGAGAATAACATCAACAAGATGCTTCAATGTGTGGAAAGTAAAAAAACTGGAGGCCATAACTCGAGGAATGACAGCTCAGCCATGATCCTTCTGAATAGCCGAGCAGACTCAATGGGCCCATTGGACTATTCCTGTTCCTGTTTTCTTTGACCTTAGGATAATAACTGATATACCAAACAGGAAATTCAGGAGAAACCTCTGAGCGAACAGAGGGTGCTTAATATGTGGAACTTGTTACCTTGTGGAATGGTTGAGGTGATTAGTGCCAATACATTTAAGGAAAGTCAAAGGAGTGGAACGAAAAGCTGACCAGGTGAGAATAAGTCATATGAAAAGATGTTCTTTGAGCTGAAACATCTGATCATTTAGGCTGAATAGCCTATTTCAGTGCAATAATTCCATGCAATTTCATAACTCTCACATTAGTCTCAAGAGGGCAGTGCTGGTGGTATGTGGCACTGTTGGGTCCTCAGCTCAAAGGTTACTAGATCATTGATAGTCTCTCACAACTTGTACATTGATATTCTGTTTTTGCTTGAGGCATTATGTTGCTAAGCAGTGCTTGTTGTTTGTTCTTCAAGCATTTGAACAACAAACAGGAAAAGAATGTGGCTTTGAGTGAATACAAGTACTTCTAACTTTACGCATCATTGTTCACTTTGAAAAGTAGCATAAGCCCTTTGAGCAGTGTCTGGCCATCTTATCATTGTCCCCTTGGTTTTTTTTATGATAATAATAAGTCAATGATCAATAAGCTACAACAGAATCCGTTCTTACCGTTCGTGGGTCCATTATAATGTGATTCTTGAAGAAGTCAATGCTGAATTGACAAGGTGCTCCATTAAATATTTTCAATTTAGTCATACCGTTTGGTGGAGGTGAAACCTGCCATTTCTGAGAAGAAAAGTCCTTATCAAACACTAGAATAAGTTTTTAAGTTTCTGCACTAGTTATCAAAAGATGTTCTGTTCCGCCTACTTTTATCAGCCTTCTTGTTGCAACCTCCACCACAATGTAACTCAGAATGAACTATCTGTAGCTGTTGCTTCTGGCACTGAATGTGTTTGATGGGAGGGAGAGTCAGGTTTGTTGTTGGCGTGAAGTAGTGGATTATAACTCACACAGTCAATGGAAAACATATAAATCAAAATGTTCCAAGAATTTGGGATTGGCATTGTGCTCTACTAACCATTGCATCAGCTCTTCATCTTTAAACATTGAGGTCATTGAGGTAGGGGCGTCACACTCCCAAGTTATGTATGGCATAGGTTAGATACAGAGTCAATCTCCCTCTACACTGTTCCATCAAACACTCCCAGGACAGGCAGGCAGAGCACAGGAATTAGAGACAGAGTAAATCTTCCTCTACATTGTTGCCATCAAACACTCCCAGGATAGTTCCAGCACAGGGTTAGATACGGAACAAAACTTCCTCTGCACTGTCCCCACTAAACACTCCAGTCCAGTCATATGGGTAAAAATAGTCTCTTAATTCTACAACCTATAGACACTACCCTCTTCAATCAATCAATCATTAAATCTATAATGTTTAAATAGTGTACCCAAAATGCACAAATAATTAAATGAAAGCTATAAAACAAACTGTAACTTCCCACAGAATGAAACATTGTCTCACCTGAATCTGTACCTGGACAATGCCAGTGATGCAGAATGCAACAGCAGCTCCTATCATCCCCACAGACATCCTTGTGACTGGCCTGTAGAGTAACAGCAAAAAAAACCAGAGTGAAAGGGTGTTAATAATCTGAAAAAGAAACGCAAAACCTCAGATTTGATATATCGTAAAGGAAGGCAATTCAGCTCATCATGTCTGCATTAGCTCTCTCGACGAGCAATTCACTAGTGCTATTCCTCATCATTTCCTCATAATCCTGCACATTCTGCCTTTTCAAATAACACTCTGGTTCCCTTTGAATACCTCGACCACCCATGAAGACAGACCATTCCAGACCTGAACCACTCATTATGTGAAGTTTCCCCAACAACCTGCCCATTCTCAATCCTTTTTTTCCCTATGTCCAGACACTCAATTTTGAATAACTATCAGATCTCCTTTCGGTCTTCCCTTCTCCAAGTGAAGAGCTCCAACTTCTCTGATCTGTCTTCATAACTGAAATTCTTCATCCCTGAAACCGTTCTCATGAACCTCTCTGAACTTTCTCCAATGCCTTCACCTCCTTCCTAAGGTATGACACTCAGAACTCTGCTGAGGCTGAACTAATGTCTCATACGAAATCAGCATAAACTCCTTGCTCTTATATTGTACGGCCCTATTAATGAAGTCTAGGATACTGTATGCTTTATTAACTGCTCTCTCAATCTGCCCTGCTTTAGTGATTTATGGACATATACATCCAAAGGCCCTCTGTTCCTGCAGCCCCTTTGGAATTGTTCCTTTCATTTTACATTGTCTTGCGATGCTCTTCCTACCAAATTGAATCATTTCATATTTCTCTGCATTTAGCTTCACGTGTGGGTCTCCTGCCAGCCCAATACATAATTTATACATAAATATAAATACAATACATAATTTACTCTATGTCTTTTTGAAGTACTACACTACCCTCCTCAGCTTACAAAGTTTTCAATCTTTTTGTTATCTACAAGCTTTGAAATTGTACCTTGTACCCCAGGTTCTGGGCAATTAATATGCGTCAGGAAAAGTCAGGGTCTTAACACTGATCCCAGGGAACTCCACCATGGACCTTTCCCCCAATCCAAAAATCATCTACTAACAATTACACTGTTTCCTGACTCCGTCAGTTCTTTGCTCACCAGTTCATTGTGTGGCACTGTATCAAACAGCTCTTGGATATCTGGGAGAGAGGGGAGAGAAGAGAGAGAGAGAGAGAGAGAAAGAGATAAAGAGAGAGGAGGGGAAAGAGAGAGAGAAGGGGGGCTGGAAATTATTAAAACAAAAGAGGGAATTAATTGTGAAAACAAGAGTATTATTCTTCAACGAGAAAATGAGTTAATCATCAGAAAGAGGGAGAGAGCAGGACTTTCATCGGAAAGAGAGGGAGAAGTGGTTAATAATTTGAATGAGAAAAAGTGACAGAGAGACAGAGTTAAAGATCAGAAAGAGACTGAAAACAAAAAAGTGCTGGAGATCACAGGCAGCATCCATGGAGAGAAAGCAAGCTAACATTTTGAGTATACGTAAAGTGTGGAGGGCACAGCATTTAAGCAATTGTAGGGGTGGGGGTGTGTGGGGAGGGTACAGTGCTGGGGGAGAAAGGATGTTGCTAATTCAGATTAAGTGACTGGAATGTGAGAATGGCAGAATAATGGTGTGTCTACCCGCCAGCCTGGAAAGGACAAAGAGTCCAACTGGAATGGGGGGGTGGGAACAGAGGACATGGTGACAGAGAATGTAACAAGTAAAGCTAATAAAAAGGGTAGGAATGAGAGTTGGCTCACAATTTGAAGGTGTTGAACTCAATATTAAGTCCAGAACGCTGTAAAGTGCTTAGTCTGAAGATGAGACTGGGTGACTGTCAGGAAGGAAAAAGGGAATAGGCAGGCAGTGCAGGGATCCCCTGTGGCTGTTCCCCTCAATAATAGGTATACCGTTTTGGATACTGTTGGGGGGACGACCTACCAGGGGAAGGCCATAGCGGACAGGTCTCTAGCACTGAGCCTGACCCTGTGGCAAAGAAGGGAAGGGGGAAGAATAGGAGAGCAATTGTAGTGGGGGATTCAATAGTAAGAGGCACAGACAGGCGGTTCTGTGACGTGAACGAGATGAAAGGATGGTACGTTGCCTCCTGGGTGCCAGGGTCCGTGATGTCTCGGATCGTGTCTTCAAGATCCTTAACGGGGAGGGTGAGCAACCAGCAGTCATGGTACACACCGGTACCAATGACATAGGTAGAAAAAGGACAGAGAATGTGAAAAACGAGTACAGGGAGTTAGGTTGGAAGCTGAAGTCCAGGACAAACAGGGTAGTTATCTCTGGATTACTACCAGTGCCATGCGATAACGAGGTAAGAAATAGGGAGAGAGTGCAGCTAAACACGTGGCTACAGGGCTGGTGTAGGAGGGAGGGCTTCCATTATGTGGATAATTGGAGCACATTCTGGGGAAGGTGGGACCTGTACAGTAAGGACGGGTTGCACCTGAACCGGAAGGGCACAAATATCCTGGGAGGGAGGTTTGCTAGAGCTCTACGGGATGGTTTAAACTCATTTGGCAGGGGGTGGGGAACCGGATTTATAATTCAGAGGATGAGGTATTCGGCCTTCCAACAGACACAACAGGGAGTGAGGTGGTTTATAAAGAAATGCAGTCGATGGAATGTAATTGCGGACACCGAGATGGTTGAGGTGTGTAAACTTCAATGGTAGAAGTATCAGTAATAAAGCGGATGAACTTAGAGCATGGGTCGGTACTTGGAACTACGATGTTGTGGCCATTACAGAAACTTGGGTAATTCAGGGAGAGGAATGGATGTTGGAAGTTCCAGGATTTAGATGCTTTAAAAGAAATAGGGAGGGTGGAAAAAGAGGTGGGGGAGTGGCATTGCTAGTCAGGGCTAGTATAACAGCTACTGAAAGGCAGTTCGAGAAGGATATGTCTACAGAGTCAGTTTGGGTTGAGGTCAGGAACAAGAAAGAAGCAGTCACTTTGTTGGGGTTTTTTTACAGATCCCCTAATAGTTGCAGAGAAGTAGAGGAGCGGATTGGGAGGCAGATACTGTAAAGGTGCCGAAGTCACAGGGTTGTAGTCATGGGTGACTTCAACTTTCCAAATATTGATTGGAAACATTTTAGTTGTAATAGTTTAGATGGAGCAGCTCTTGTCCAGTGCATTCAGGAAGGATTCCTGACACAGTATGTCAATAGACCAACACGAGGAGAGGCTACTTTGGATTTGGGACTTGGCAACGAACCGGGCCAAGCGTTACACCTGTTGGTAGGAGAGCATTTTGGCGGTAGCAATCATAACTCTGTTTCTTTCACGATAGTCATGGATAAGGCAGGGTAAAGTTTACAATTGGGGGAAGGGTAATTATAATTCTGTTAGGCAAGAACTGGGTAACATAAATTGGGAACAGAGAAGAGCACCACAGAAATGTGGAGATTGTTTTAGAAATGCATACTGCATGTGCTCAATATGCTTGTCCCTCACAGGCAGAGAAGATGCGGTCAAGTGAGGGAGCCGTGGTTCTCGAGAGAGGTCGAACGACTGGTTAAGAGGAAGAAGGAGGCTTATGTAAGGTTTAGGAAAAGAGGAACGGAAAAGACTCTAGAGGGATACAAGTTAGCCAGGAAGGAGCTGAAGAAAGGGCTGAGGAGAGGTATAAGGGGGCATGAGAAAACCTTGGCGGATAGGATCAAGGAAAACTCCAAGGCTTTTTACACATATGTGCAGAACAAGAGAATGACCAGAGAAAGGGTAGGGCCGATCAAGGATTGTAAAGTGAATTTGTGCACAGAGACTAAAGAGATAGGAGAGGTCCTTAATGAATACTTTTCTTCAGTATTCACAACTGAGAGGGACCTAGTTGTAGAAGAGGACGTTGTGAAACAGGCAGGTAGGCTAGAGGAGGTTGATGTTAGTAAAGAAGATGTGCTAGGAATTCTGAGGAAGTTGAAGATAGATAAGTCCCCCGGGCCTGATGGGATTTATCCAAGGATTCTATGGGAAGCGAGGGACAAGATCGCAGGGCCTTTGGCGATGATCTTTTCGTCCTACTGTCCACGGGTATAGTGCCGGAAGATTGGAAAGAGGCAAACATCATTCCCTTGTTCAAAAAAGGGAACAGGGATAACCCCGCTAATTACAGACCAATTAGTCTTACGTCAATGGTGGGCAAATTATTGGAAAGGGCTCTGAGAGACAGGATTTATGATCACTTGGAAAGGCACAGTTTGATTCATGATAGTCAGCATGGATTTGTGAGGGGTAGATCATGCCTCACAAACCTTATTGAATTCTTTGAAGAGGTGACCAAACACGTGGATGAAGGTGGAGCAGTGGATATGGTATACATGGATTTAAGTAAGGCGTTTGATAAGCTTCCCCATGGTAGGCTCATACAGAAGGTAAGGAGGCATGGGATAGGGGGAAATGTGGCCGATTGGATTCAGAATTGGCTGACCCTTAGAAGACAAAGGGTGGTAGTGGACGGAAATATTCAACATGGTGCTCAGTTACGAGTGGTGTACCACAAGGATCTGTTCTGGGTCCTCTTCTATTTGTGATTTTTGTAAATGATTTGGATGAAGGAGTGGAAGGGTGGATTAGCAAGTTCGCGGATGATATGAAGGTGGGTCATGTTGTGGACAGTGTGGAGGGCTGTTCTAGGTTACAAAGGGACATTGATAGAACGCAGAGCTGGGCTGAGAAGTGGCAGATGGAGTTTAACCCTGAAAAGTGTGAGGTGATTCATTTTGGAAGGACAGACTTGAAAGCAGAATACAGGGTTAACGGAAAAATTCTTGGCAATGTGGAGGAGCAGAGGGATCTTGGGGTTCATGTTCACAGTTCCCTGAGAGCTGCCACCCAGGTGGATAGAGTTGTTAAGAAGGTGTATGGTGTGTTAGCTTTCATTAATAGAAGGATTGAGTTCAAGAGCCGTGAAGTTATGCTCCAGCTGTACAAAAGCCTGGTTCAGCCACATCTGGAGTATTGTGTCCAGTTCTGGTCACCTCATTACAGGAAAGATGTGGAAGCATTAGAAAAGGTG